TCTATCTGTAAGCTAACCACTTTCCCAGATCTGAGGAATGCATAGTATATACAAACAAGTGATAAGGAAGGGGGTTGGATAGACTGTCTAAAATGCTAATGGAATATAATCAAATCTAAACCCAGACAATTGTGACAGAGAAGATTAAATAATTTAATATTTAACTGTCTATATATATAAGGTACCATTGTATGGAAAAGGGTAAACTTAGTTCATGATTTGTCATATCAGAAATTATGGCAGGAATTGCAGACGCTAAGTCTGGACAAAATTTAAGAAACCCTTTGAAATTTTAAATTATGGCGCTATAAAGATAACGCAAAATGACGTCAAAATAGCCACCAGGAAAAGTTAACTCTTTCCTGGATAGGTATGTTTAGTGGGACAAGACTGCCCTCTACAGACCAAATAACTAATTTGCGATCTGGAAGATAACCACACCTCTAGTGCTTCTATTGGGTTATCAACTGATGACGTACAGAGAGTCTGGCCCTTTAAAAGTTAAGACAAAGGGAAGATAGAAAAAGACAATACGAAGGAGGCAGATGCAAGAGATGCAAAGAAAAAGAGGAGAGAGGAATTGGAAGTTTGGGGACTCCAACCTCCATGCAGAGAGAGACATCCAAATAAGTTCCTGAGGCTACCAATCGGATGAAATATCTACTCAACTGGTAATTATACTGGTTTCACTTAATTAAATTAAATTAATTAAAATGTATTAATAGCATTATATATGACTGGATAAAGCACGGTCAGATTTCCATATTAAGAAATCTTAGTTAACTAAGAATATATAGTTATAAACATTCCATTCTGCAGGTGGAATTAAGAATAATTATATATTGATGTGATATTATCACGTGTTAGCATACCGCTGTTTTTATCCAGGTGTATTGATTTGCTCTAAATTAAGATAGATATCTTTTAGACAAATTAAAAATCTGCTTATATAATATGTAGATCCTCTTATTGGATTGGTTTAAGAAAATGAATTTAAACTGGTTTAAATGTTATTTTATTAAAAATTACATAAGAATAGATCTTAACAACCTAGGAGATCTAGCCAGCATTGAAAGGGTTATTCTAACTGTCTGCTAAACTTTACGACCTTACGCTGCACTCTGAGGAATTCTGTTCTCTGTGTGAAAAGTTTCACTTTCAGCCTGTGTTAAAGATACCTCATAAATCGTCAGAATTCTTGACAGGAAATGCGTTTTAGCCATTGAAACGTAATACCCATGTCTTTGTATTGCATATCGTTTTATACTGAATATTCATTGATTATTGTCATGCATGTTACATATAATATTATTATTAATTTGTCATATAAATAAAAATCTATTTTTATACATTGTGATTATTTATATGAAATACTTTCCACTTAACACGATAAACGTTCTTTGGGATCTGAGAATTGAATTAGTGGGCAATTCTCACTGTTACTATTATTATCCCATAAATATCCCCACAACGTGTTGCCTTGTCCAGAGGCTTACGGACCCGTGAGGCGACATATTGTGCCACATGCTCAGCTGGTGACCATTCCGCAGAGCGGGGGTGACGTAAGTCATCCGGCTCAAACAGTGGTTCGCCCTGCGGGTCAAGGATTTTTCCCTGTTTAATCAATTCTGAGCTTGCGGTATTTATCTCAGTAGAGGGATTACACACCTCATCAATGTCATATTCCGAATCTAGGTCGGACAAATCGTTAGACTGATCTGAGTCTAGGGCTGGGGCACTCTCCTCATCTGAACTGAGTTCTGACTCAGTGGAATCAGGTTGGGCTTTTGCCCACTTCCAATGCCTAGCCGCTTTTGCCCGGCTAGAGGCTCTTTTGCGCGGTGGGTTAGTATTCGCGCCATCTGTGACAGGTGTTTTACTGTCCATCGTTAACTTGGAGGAGTGCTTGGTTTTTGCCGAGGCTTTGCGGCCGGGGCGTGATGGGTTGGAAATAGATGGTATCGCGACTGGCATAGCGGTCGGAGGGACCATGCGTTGGGCCTGCCTTAGTGCCTGGGTAAAAGATTTTGAAATAGATGAAGACATAATGTCCATGGCAGATGCCAGGGCTTTAGAGACAGACTTGGACACAGTAGTGTCCATGATAGCCTGAATATCCTCTGATGCTGGGAAATCCAGGTCATCCCCAGAAACTATAGGGGGAAAACCCAATGCTGTCTGGGGGTCAGTTGTTGTCCCTGAGGGACCAGGTAAATCATTAGCAGATTGCATTAGTGCAGTGTAACTGACAGGCAGGATTAAACAAAGTAATTGACAGTGTTATTTGATGAATTTAATAGTAAGAGTTGTAGAGCAGGGTTAAGTAACCCAGCTGAAAATAACCAGAACACAATAAGCAGTAAGTTAAATCAGGAAAATCACTTACAGCTATTTATCAAAATAATGGAGGGGAGCAGGAGAAAAGGGAACCGTCCGCCACTAATACTGGACACCAACTCCGATCAAGGGACGGAGTGGGCGTTCCATAGTAAAAGGGCGGGAAAATGTTGGAAGAAAATGGCCGCCGCGCCGGCGGGAACCAAAAAGATGGCCGCCGCGGCTAACAAAGCGAAAGTATAAGTGAATGCCGGTGTTCGGCGGTAAGGTAACGTTGCTACACCGCCGCACGGGGAGGGAGGGGTGTAGTGCGGCTGGATGCGCGGTCAGAAGTAAATCCGACCGCGACCTACAGCCGGAACTTAAGATGGCGTTCTGACTGGGCGCGCATGCGCGGACGGGCCAGATGCCGGCGAAATTAAAGTGATAGCTGGACAAACCCACAGACCGGCCAAGTCCCTGAATATCAGGGCAGATAGAATAAGGGGGGTCAAGCCATGACAGTGTAGGGTATAGGAAGATGTGCAGGTTGTTAAGTATACTACACTTATACTTTGAAAGATTATTTAAAGGTGCAATGCAGTCAGTACCAGTAAAAGGTACCCATGAATGTAGGAGGTTAATAGAAAGAACAATTAAATACAATGAAGTACAATATCATATTGAATAGAGTAACATTAAAGGATCCCACAGTCAGAGAACTGTGAGGGGTGTACTTATCTGAGGGTAGCAGCAAAGAAAGAGGAAGTGGTCATCAATGCTCCGCCTACTATAGGAGAAGGACGACACTGATTGGATGGCCATGTTACTAGGCGGACATTGTCACTATGATGTTATACCTAGTTCAAATGTTTATTTTTCTTCAATAATGTATTCTTTGCTGCTGAGGGTAATAAAGAAAGAGAGCAGCATAATAGGAGCCTCCGGGTCTTTAATAAAATCATGATCATGCAGTCTCACTGCTCAATTCTCTGCTATTTAGAAGTTAAATCACTTTTTTTATACAGTAATAGGCACACCACCCTGCATGTGACACAGCCTTCCTAAACACATCCTGTAAAGAGTAATCTAATGTTTACACTTCCTTTATTGCAAATTCTGTTTCATTAAGAATTTCTTCTCTCCCGCTCTGTTAATAGCAGGCTAGACCCTGCAGGAGTCTTCTGTATGTGATTGAAGTTCAAATTACAGAACAGGAGTAAGTAAGCTGCATGTGATTCAAATTGATATCATTTTGTTTTCAGGCAGGCTGTGTCATTCACAGCAAGGGAGGTGTGGCTAGGACTGCATAAACAGAATGGCAGTGCAGTGAAACTTCAGAGGCATGATCTATACACAAAAACTGCTTCATTAAGCCAAGTGGTATTGGTGGTGATAGTGTCCCTTTAAGGTAGCAACTTTGTAATCCACAGATTTGAGTTTAGAATGAGTTTTGATTTAGGATAGACCAGGAAATCATATGATGTAAGGTGTACAAGGTGGAAGGATTTGAAACCAAAGAGGTACACATGCTTGTAAGATACCCCATACAGTATCTATGGACCACCACTTTGAACAGCAGCACGTTAAAGGTTGTGGAGGTACCTGCTCGTACACCAGCTACATTACTGAGTGCTATCTTAGAATTTTTATTTAAAAAAAACAAACAAATAAAATAACACAACAAACAAACAAGAAAGTTAATCTGTAATATGGAACGTGTGAATGGTCGGAGAATGGAGAGGTATTGCCACTGAGGCAGACTCCTCTGCTGCTGCTTTGCCCCACATGTCCCAACACTTATGTTAATAGCAAGCACGTTTGTAGCCTTTTAGATCATTTGTAATTGTTTTAGCAAGAGCAATGTGAGCCTTGTGGATGCTGAGGAAAGTCCCCCAATAAGCAGAGACGGGGCTGATGTCTTGGATGAGGGACCCTACGCTATTTCAGAAGCTATAGATCTTTATACACAAAAGTAAAGATGACAAAATATTAATGTAACTTAGCGCTAGCTTACCAAAACTCTGACGCACCTCTAACATTCAATGGGTCGAATGATACTAAAGATACACAATAACTTATAGCGCTTTTGACATTCATATTCTTAAAGGTCCACTCAAGTCGTGAAGTGGTCCAGGTGCAGTAATCCAGTAATTTTAATCCAGCAATGTAACCATTGTAGTTTTGTAGAAACTGCAATGTTTATATTGTAGGGTTAAAACACCACCGAAGGCTGTCTTCCAGACAGACACTAGTAGCACTTCCTCTACAATGGATGAGTAATACTCAGTTGGATACGATTGCGGCATTCGCTGCCAGTCTCATTGCTTATCTATGAAGAGCATTGGATTGGCAATGGCAGAGAGGGATTGATGATGTCAGTGTCAGAAGGCAGCATCAAGGGAGTCTCGATGCAGAGAAAAGGTATCTAAACACAGTTTTTCATGTTTTGACTGGAAATGGGGAAAGACAGACCTAAACCTAAATTCCAACTAGGACACCATAGCATTAGGAATAATGCACACATGACATAGGCAGTCCCCCCCAAAATCAATTCTGCATTAAAAAATACATCTGTGGTCCACATTGCGCTCCCTCCCGCATTCCGCCGTAGCCCTCAGCCTTTTTGTTTTTTTAAATGAGCCTCCGCTCTGAGCTGGCCAAACAGACCAATGACAGGTTTTTCAATGAGACGTTTCTGATTGGTCTGCAGTGGGTCCTGTGATGTCGGAAGGGGCTGGGAAGTCAGCGCTGGTTACTTCACTCGGCGCTAGATTACAGATCAGCAAGTCTCTTTTATTATATAGATTTGGAGGGGGGTACATTCTCTATAGTGTAATAGGACATTTTACACTGGACTCCCCCTGCCCCCTTCACCCCAAGACTTTGAGTAACCCTTTAATTCCCAAACCAAGGAGATCTAATAAACCACACTGTGCACGTTTTTAAAAATAATTCTTGTATAAATTATTCATGCTTTTTTCCTCACACCCCTTCAATTAATCAAGTTAGGTATAAGAAGTAGCTAGTACCCATATAAAGATGCTAAAATCTACAAAAAAACCCAACTATTTTAAAATAAATCAAACACCATAAAAGGCTGTTTTATAATGATAAACATATCTGAAAAGAAATACAATCATATTTCCCTTTTAAACTGCCTGATACTATGCTTGTTTCCTGTTATTCTGCACAACTCTTCTCTGCTTTGCCATAATTCTGTAGGGTCTTATCATAAGTGGAATTTTCCATATCCTAGTGTCTCCCGGATAAGACAAATCATGCAATATGAGTCTCACATAATTCTGTGCTATTCCCATTGGCATTTTCATTTGTATTATTGTAATTATTTAACTCATTGTTAACATAAAGATGAAAGCAGTCACTTAAAGGAATTCAAATTGTTCTTAACTTGAACACAAAAATTCACAAAACACCAGGTTTTTTCTAAATTTACAAAATACAGTGAAAATGATTGAATTCCGGCCACGTGGCAATTCTCATATTTCCTAAACCCAACTCCAGTCGGAATCTAGCCAACCTGGCTGAATCTGCACCAATCAGCTGGGTACATTTGGTGACCTGGTCCCCTTCTTGTCCCCAGAGAATCAGGTGGGGACTTTAAATTAAATAATGGGGGGTTGCCAGATCACAGATTCAATTTAAAAAATGGGGGGAAGGGAAGGTGAGTTTTTTTTTCTCTTTTTGGATTTTGTTTTAACATCTACTTCACTTGAAAAACAATTTCCTTTCCAAACTTGAAAACATCATCATATTAAATAAATGGTTTTGAGGTGACAAGCTAACAGGAGACAGAAGCCAAATAACCCCAGCCAACATCTTGCTAACACACAAGCTCAGTATAATATAACAAGCACCCCATGCCTTCCTCCACCATAATTGATAGTGAGTTACTATTTTACAATGTATACTTAATATATTCCTATTAAAATATTTTATTGGATTTTACTAATTTAATTGTTCTGAAAAATTACATGGGCACAAATAGATATTCACCAGATATTCTTAACATTATCTTATATCCTCTGTACTGAATCTGAATGTGCTAACAAGTGTTCCTAGGAATGCTGAACATGTGTAACTTGGCAGCGACTGGTTAACAGATCACAGACTTCCAAGAGCTGCTTTATCACCAGTAAACCACCTGTTATTAGAGTGTTACTGAGTAGAGAACGATGATTCCTTTACCAGCACTGACAGCAGAATGATAGAGTGTGTTCAAAGCAATAGTGTCACTCGCTTGGTGCATAAAAACTGGATGAATGCAACAACCCAGGAAATCTATTCAAAAATAGATATTTCTTGATAAAGAGAGTGCCATCGCAGAGGATTTGATACCTTTTTAAAATAGTGTACGAAATAAAAAACGTTATTGAGAAAAGAATGGAATATATATATATATATATAAAACTGTCAGAGATGTTCTATTTTATTCTAACAAAAGATTTTCTTTATTTGTGAAATCCCCCCTCTAGCCCCCCAAAAACATTTATGGACACTGGGATTAGTGCTAATTTCTTATTTTTTTTGATTGTGCTGTTTTCACCAGGTCTTTTTTCATGCTGCCGCCATCTTAGCATTTCCAAGATGGAGGCTTCTGGAGATGCCAGCCTCTGTTCTTCCTATGGTTTGCACGTGAAATCACCAGTACACCTTAGACCTGTGCTGACTGCATCATACGACACTGATCCATGACACACTGCTGCCTGAAGTGATGTCACAGTGTCATAACCAATAAAAAAGGACATGGAGCTTGACTAAAGCTTCACCGTTTCTTACCTCTTGTCAAGCAGCAGGTTATACATAAAGACACATTTCATCTTTAAAGCATTTCTATACAAGTTAAAATTTTTGAAGTGACGCTTTCATTCTTGCCAAGGGAGTGCTGCCATTTTATGTACCAGTGGGGAGTGGTGCATGTCTGACTGAAGATCACTCTGCATATTCACAGTATGATGAAATCAGCAGATTGCCCAGTATGCAGTTAGAAGCCAGGTCTGCTCTCTGATGTTCTATAAGACTGTGGTACTCATTGCTATCCAGAGCTACTACAGTTTAAAACAATCACAAAAAGGCTTATTCAATAAAGTGAGAATTATTTTAAATTCAACGTGAATTTTAAACTTGATGCCAAAATAACCAAACTGGAACCATAGCGGACTTTGAATTGAAGACCAAAATAGTTGAACTGGAAGATTTCTCAGTCACTCAGTCAGTCCTCTTCTGCAACTGTCATTAGTCTAATATTATCCTTACCTTTTTGTGTCATTTTACCCCACTCCCTCTAGAATGTAAGCTCATTGAGCAGGGCCCTCAACCCCTCTGTTCCTGTGTGTCCAACTTATCTGGTTACAACTACATGTCTGTTCGTCCACCCATTGTAAAGCGCTGCGGAATTTGACGGCGATCTATAAATATCATAATAATAACTGACAATTCTCACTTTAGTAAATAACCCTGAACGTTGTCCTTTTTTGTTTCGTTTGCTATAGTTTTACTGGACACTTTAACAATGCTAGTCCCATACTCATAGTTGAGATCCCAAAGGAACTGCTGGACTACTTATCTGATTTCACATCAGGAGAGCATCAATTTCAGGCAGCACTTTCAAAACAAATGCAGTTTTTATGAATAGTCCACAAACATATTCTGATCTGGCAACTCAGTATCTTTCTCTCAATTAATTTAAACCTGCATTTCTCTATACTATATTATCAGTCTAGAACAGTGGTAGTCAACCTTTTAATACCTACCGCCTACTTTTGTATCTTTATTGATGGTAAAATTTCCTTACCGCCCACCAGTGTCACAGTAACTAATTTTTAAAAAACTGTAAGGCTCTGGTTATATCCCATTGGAAGAGCTCTCCAACCAAATTAATATATATATATACAGTATATAAATAGATAGAGAGAGAGAGACACACATACACACATATACATACATACACACCGCCCTCTCTGTACTCAATTAGCTGCAGCAAGCATTCTGTGTCAAGAGGTCAAATATTTCAGGTAAAGGCTGGATGTTTAAAATGTATGTGTGAGAGGAGGCAAAATGTATAAGGTTTGTACTTAGTTGGACAGAAAATATTTCACTTCAGGTTTGATCACTCAGTCATGTTACACACACACAGACACACACACACACACACACACACACACACACTCAGAGACAGACACATCTAAACAGGAAGTAATTTCCTCTGTTTTCTTTGAAGTAGTATCAATGCATCAGCACATTATATCAGTGGTTATAGTAGTAGCCATACTGGTTTACCCAGTTACCTATTCTTTTGGTGCATATGACTTTTATCAACAAATCAAGTGTTGAAAGCAGCCTTACACATGTACAGGTTTTAAATGCAGTGCAAACACTTGATAAGATAAAAATACAATAATAAAAAAAATAAAAATAAAAAAAAAAGCATCAAATGGATATTCTGTCCCTTACTTACCTGCACGGTCCAGTCTGTTAATACTGCACACATATTTACTGTTAAACATCCAGAAATGGCCATTGTTGCAGGACAGTAGACAGGGCCGACATGGAGCCACAACGTGGTATCCGACTTCATTACCACTGTAACACAAATGTAGCATTTATTTAACTACTCACCAGATATTCTTAACATTTATATCTCAAGTAGACATTTCAGTTTCATGCTTTAAACCAGTGGTTCCCAACCCATCCTCCAAGAGTCCAGGTTTGGAACAGAATTGGGAAACACCACAATTATGGAATGTTGGAGTGTGTTGAGGACTGGGTTGAGAACCACTGCCCTAATCTACTCTTGTTCATACCGGTCTTCAAGAGGCCAGAATTTGAAGATATCCCTAATGACCACCTAAAAGAAGATACTGAGCCACTGATCATCTTTGCTAAGGGATATAAGGGATAGCTTGGTGTGTTGGTGCTTCATGCTTCTTGCTCCACCACATATCATGGTGTCTCTAATGGAATAAGATGTTTGGGCGGACTAGATGGGCCGAATGGTTCTTATCTGCCGTCACATTCAATGACTATATAGGCCACGGGAATAATTGGAAGTCTTTGTCATCTAGTTTTAAAAAAAATCCATGGCCCCTGGATTTATGTAACAGAAGTGGGTAAATTACACAAGTGCAGTAACAATGTCAATGTATGTAGAGGAATTCAAATGATTAAGGGACATATTGTGCATTAGGAAGAAACACTTCTCACACTGTTACACCAACGCTACCAGCAATAGTTGTACAACTGACAAAATGCAGGATGGATTCATTGTTTAGTGGAAGGAGATGGGACAAAGGGTAATTCTACTCATTATATAAACCCCCTCTTTTCCATACAAACAAGGTTCATGACACTCATGGAGCATTCTATGGTTAATAGAAGACCCCTGTAAAAAAAAAATTCAAGAGATGGGTCGCATTATCTGGCTTATACTGGTTACAATTGTTTATTTTTTTTGTAGATTTTCCAAACAACATATCAGGTAAGGGAAGAGAGGCATTCATCACTCTCAAGGTTAATTGTGGGAAGTGAGGAAAGGTTGTGACCGCTCAGAGCTACGTTTCCAGCTACAGAATTAATTGTTTATCAAGTTCTCTGCAGTGCATTCCTCTCAGCTTAATATACTTTTGACGAGGCAGGGAGTTTTTACAGCTCAGTTGCCTGGACAAACTATTTAAGGCTTATTTACTAAAGTGAGAATTTTTTTGGCAATTCAAAGTGTTTTTCAAATTTTTAGACCAAGGCTCAATTTAAAATTGTTGGATAAGCATTCAAATGATTTAATACTTGTGGATTAACTTTTAAAAACGGATTTAAGATTATGAATAATATTTATATTTTGTAATACAATATTATATGATGGCACAAAATAGCTAAATTGCTAGCATAGCTAGCTTGGAGAAATTTTCCATTTCAACTGCTTTTGGTCTTAAATTAGAAATTTACTTTGAATTCCCGACAATTCTCATTGTAGCAAATAACCCTATTTATGTTTATGTGATTTAAATATGAACAGGGGTATCGAGGACCCCCGTGTCCTGTATTGCATCCAATATAAAATATATATTAAATAGCGAGCAGTTATTGGCATCTCCAAATGTCAATAACATAATTAAGAAAAAGTTGATGTCAAACAATTAATAAACAAATACAGCATTGCCGGAAAATAAAATGATGACTGTAGTATGATGCTTTAAAGATCGAGTAGTAGCTAGTGTAAATGTTTGTTACCCATCTCCTCTGTCTGCAATGGTGAGATGTTTTGCCAATGAACCTCCTCCTTTCCACTCAAACCAATGGTTGGCACTTTCCTATTATTTCACCTTATCATGGATAGTGAAGTGGGTGATGTTTGTGTCTCTGTAGGAGCTTGTTATTAATTCTCATTTTTTTTTTAAATCTACCAAAATGGATTCAGTTCAACCTTGCCAAGTCCTTGCAGCTATCTGTATCCCAAGAGGTGACTGCATACACTACATTAGAATAAATCAACAAGGCTCAATGATCTATGCTCAGTAATCAATGAGAATTGTGTTCCCTTTGTATTGTATTACGAATGTTGCTACCATTAGCAATAACTGGTGCAACTTTTAAAGATATATATAAAAAGTGTCTCACATTTTTATATGTATCTCACATTTCTTTAAAAAAACACCTATTTTCTTTTCGTGACAAATATGTCTTACTCTGCATTTTCTTTTCTCATTTGCAATGGTAACCAAAAAAACCCAAAAAACTACACTACAGAAAAGAGGGAGAAAAGGGACCTAAATATAAAGGGTGGAGTAACAGTTCTCTGCATCAGGAAATGGCACATTGGCAGTGTAAATGGAAACAAAACACCCCACGAGCATAACATGTATATCTAACACGTTGCATGCTACACACCAAACCTATAGTTAGGAATCTATATTCCTAAAGCTTTAATGCCCCTGTCCCTAGCTGTTTACAGCTGTCATTTCCAATAAATGTAATACAAATAAAGCTCTTTACTCAACTTTTTTCCCACTGTCAGTGAGCTCACCTCACCGAGGAGGTATGGCCTCCACCACCTTGGTTCAATCCAAAGCTCCTCATAGAGGAGCATTCAGGACCACATGTCAGGCAATTGCCGCACGTGCATCTAATGCTTCAAATGAAAGCAATAAATCGAATACTTTCATATGAGCTTCTCCATCACATGACCAAGTTTTACTCAGTCAATGCAGTAGTAGTGCCTCTAGTGACTGTCAGAATAGCCACTGCAGGTTTAAAATGACAGGAACCCTGCATCCAAACCACTTCACTGAGATTAAGTGGTCTGGTTTACTATAGTGATCCTTTAAGAACTACATTGATCAGCCTCCACATTAAAACCACTGACAGATGGTGAATAACATTGATTATATTTTTACAATGGCACATGTCAGGGTGTGGGACTTATTAGGCAGCAACCGTCAGCTCTTGAATTTCATGTGTTAGAAGCAGCGACAATGGCAAGCACAAAGATCTGAGTGACTTTGAATAGGACAAATAGTGATGGCTAGTTGAGTACATCTCCAAAGCAGCAAATCTTGTGAGCTGTTCCCATAGGCGTGCGCAGCCTATTGCATTAGGGTGTGCACCCTAAAGCACAAGCACACGCCGCATATATATATGTATTTATGTATATATATATATGTGTATATATATTTATATATACACACACATACACACACACATACACACACTGCTGTGTGTGTGTGTGTGTGTGTGCTGTGTGAGGGTGCTGTTAGTGTGATGTGTGTGTGACGGTGCTGGTAGTGTGCTATGTGGGTGTTTGTGTGTGCGTGCTTGTTAGGATGCTGTTAATGTACTGTGTGTGAGGGTGCTGTTTGTGTGTGTGCGCTTGTGAGGGTGCTGTTAATGTACTGTGTGTGAGGGTACTGGTAGTGTGCTGTGTGTGTGTTTGTGTCAGGGTACCTGTTGGTGCTGACTCCAAGGAGGACATCCTCTCTGCTTAGGGGCTCCTTGCCCCTAGCATTTCGGCTAATTCCGTCCGTTTTCGCGCCGGCCGCGCTAGCTCCTCCCCCTTTTATGACCGGACCTTTTGGGGGCGTGGTCTCAATTAAGGTGACAGGGTATTTAAGGGAACTTTTACTACTGCTCATTGCCCTGTCGTGGTTCTAGCTTGCTAGTCACTCAGCGCGTTCTCTCTCTTAGTGTTTTCGGTTTTGACCTTGCTTGTCTTTTGTCCAGTTGTCCTCTCCTCTCCTTTGACTCGGCTTGTATCTCGCTTACCTGTCCTCCGGCTCCCTCGACCTCGGCTTACCTTTTGACTATTCTTGTTTTTTCCATACGTTAGTCCGGCCATTCTAAGGTCCGGTATACGTACCTCCTTCTGTCCGCACTCTGCGTATTAGATCCCTGTCACTATCCTGACAGTTTGTTAGGGTCCTGTTTGTGTTTGTGAGGGTACTGTTAGTGTGCTGTGTGTGTGTGAGGGTGCTGTTTGTGTGCTGTGTGTGTTTGTGAGGGTGCTGTATGTGTGTGCTGTATGTGTGTTGGTGCTGTGTATGTCTGTGGGTGCTGTAGGTGTGTGGGTGCTGTGTATGTCTGTGGGTGCTGTATGTCTGTGGGTGCTGTGTGTGAGTGCTGTATGTGTGTGGGTGCTGTGTATGTGTGTGGGTGCTGTATGTCTGTGGGTGCTGTATGTATGTGGGTGCTGAATGTATGTGGGTGCTGTATGTCTGTGGGTGCTGTATGTCTGTGGGTGTTGTGTATGTGTGTGGGTGCTGTATGTGTGTGGGTGCTGTATGTGTGTGGGTGCTGTGTATGTCTGTGGGTGCTGTATGTGTGTGGGTGCTGTGTATGTCTGTGGGTGCTGTATGTGTGTTGGTGCTGTATGTGTGTGGGTGCTGTATGTGTGTGTGGGTGCTGTGTATGGGTGCTGTATGTGTGTGGGTGCTGTATGTGTGTGGGTGCTGAATGTCTGTGGGTGCTGAATGTCTGTGGGTGCTGTATGTCTGTGGGTGCTGTGTATGTCTGTGTGTGCTGTATGTGCTGTATGTGTGCTGTATGTGTGTGGGTGCTGTGTATGTCTGTGGGTGCTGTATGTCTGTGGGTGCTGAATGTCTGTGGGTACTGTATGTATGTGGGTGCTGAATGTCTGTGGGTGCTGTGTATGTCTGTGTGTGCTGTATGTGCTGTATGTGTGCTGTATGTGTGTGTGCTGTATGTGGGTGGGTGATTGTGGGGGTGGAGGTGGATTACTTGCTATCCCCCCTCCCTTCTTACCTTTTGTAGGGAGGGGGGATCGTGCTGCTGCTTTCCCTGGTGGACCAGTGGAGAGTGAACTCTAGCCCCTCGTGGCAACGCTTCTATCTCGCGAGAGGAACCCGGCGGAGCTGCCGGCAATAGGTCCGCCGGTCCTCTCCTGCCTCCCTCCCTGCATGTGGGTCAGTGGGGAGGGAGGCTGAGAGCAGAGCCAGCGCCGGTCTCAATATGCATAGGCGTGCCGCGGGGATTAGGGTGTGCCCAGGCACACCCGGCACACCCCGTGCGCACGCCTATGGCTGTTCCGATATGTAGAGAAGATAAGAAAGGTGTCAGAACACACAGTGTATCGTACTTAGCTGTGTATTGGGCTGTGTAGCTGCAGACCGGTCAGAATGCCCACGATGACCCCTGTCCATTGCCAAAAGCGCCTTCAATGGGGATGTGAGAGTCAGAACTGGACCACGGTGCAATGGAAGATGGTTGCCTGGTCTGATGGACCAAATTTTCTTTTAGATCAGGTGGATAGCAGGGTGTGTGCATTTTTTTACCTGGGGAAGAGATGTCAAGAGGGTGCACTGAGGGAAGAAGGCAGGCCGGCAGAGGCAGTGTTATGCTCAGGGCAATGTTCTGCTGGGAAACCTATGGTTTTGGCATTGTGGATGTGACTTTGACACGTACCACCTAGAGATTGTTGTGGACAATGCACACCTCTTCAGGGATGTGCTGGAACAACAAATCCGATCCACGGAGGTCCCATCTCACAGCTTGCTGGGCTTAAAAGATCTGCTGCTAATGTCTTGGTGCCAGATACCACGGACACATTCAGAGGTCTTGTGGAGTCCATGCCTCGACATATCAGAGATGTTTTGGCAGCATTAGATGGACCTACATGCTATTAGACAGGTGGTTTTAATGTTGGGGTTGATCAGTGTAATGATTCATTATAATCTTATTGCCTTTCTCAAGGGTCCATTGGGTGTTAAAATTGAACTGAAATAGGTTTAACACTGAATTGTGAGACAGTGACAGAACAGGTGCAAAAACCACAATGATGACATGAAGGAATTATGGTGCCTATAGTGTTCCTTTAATAAAATTTAAAAAAAAAACAGAGGCCAGCTCAAGCCTGCAATGTTCCTTTAAATTTGCATATTTATTGGAATATATGTCAAAGCCGCAAGATTGATAGGCAATCATAGATCCAAAGAGAAAAAACAAGGTATTTGCACCGAGACCGGAATCTAAATATTTTAAATATACTGGAATACCGAATACCGGAATCTAAATATTTTTACACTGTAGCACTGCATGCTTAACTCACATAACTATTTGGTATAAAGGGATGGACCTCGTTTCATGATGTGTTCCTCTCCAGATGGAATTCAGGATCTCATAATCTTTGTAAGCTCAGGGTGACGGGGTAAAAGGGCAGGAAACATTTATTGCATCCAGATAATAAGATTTATTGCTTCACAAGGGCTACATAGACCAAGCGCATTGAATCTCTGGTAGAAGAGTAGATATTTCAATAAATATATATTTATATTATAGCAAACTCCAAAAGAAGACACCCACCATTTCAAACAAGCCAGGCATTTCAGTTTGCATCTGCATGTGTCCAAGAAATAGCAGGACCCTACAAAGTCGACAGCTCTAGAAGAAAGAAAATATGGTTTGTAAAAATACATACATATACATATAGCAAAAAAAATAAAATACGAAAAAGCAGCTTTGTAAAAACACAGTAGTTTTCAGAACCCTGTAAATTATATTTCTGTCACGCTACCAGTTATCCCATCAAGCATTGCCCATATCTACTTGTTTTTCCCATAATGCCAATGTGATGACACTGTATGCTATCAAACTGTTTCAATTTATAGTTCCACCATCTTGTGCCATTCAATTTATGCTCGTAAGTCTACTTAGCAAGCATTATAGAGACAAAAGTCTGATGTTGCGTAATTAGCTCAGTATTTTGTCATTTAAACCCTTTACTCCCAACAGAATGGTGCCCTTTTGTGGTTCCTTGCTGGCCTGAGAGCCCTTTCCTTTTTCAATTCCTCTTTACTTTGCGTATAAACTGGCATGGCATGTTTCTTTCTTAATCTACGTATCATTTAGTTATTCTGTGATTTGACCACTGGCTTTCATCTATGACGACACTACTGATATGTGAGATCCACTTACCCACTTTTTGAGCTCCAGTGCTGACATTGTGGCTCTGCCATTATCCTCTGCATCTGCAGGAAGCATGTCTAATGATCCCATCTCCTGGGCAGAATGCTTTTATAGTGAGGTGGTTCACATACCTTATTCATATAGACCATCGTCATGAAAGGAGGTTCATAAAGAATGGTAGGAGAGATCTGCATAAAATCCCTAAGTCACCCCAATTGAGAGTAAATGTATGCAGATGGATGTATCATAAAATGCTTAAAGGACCACTCTAGGCACCCAGACCACTTCAGCTTAATGAAGTGGTCTGGGTGCCAGGTCCTTCTAGGGTTAACCCATTTTTTTTTATAAACATAGCAGTTTCAGAGAAACTGCTATGTTTATGAATGGGTTAAGCCTTCCCCCTAATCCTCTAGTGGCTGTCTCATTGACAGCCACTAGAGGCGCTTGCGTGCTTCTCACTGTGATTTTCACAGTTAGAGCACGCAAGCGTCCATAGGAAAGCATTGTAAATGCTTTCCTATGCGACGGGCTGAATGCGCGCGCAGCTCTTGCCGCGCGTGCGCATTCAGCCCAGGAGGAGGAATGGAGGAGGAGAGGAGGCAGAGAGCTCCCCGCCCAGCGCTGGAAAAAGGTAAGTTTTAACCCCTTTCCTCTTTCCAGAGCCGGGCGGGAGGGGGACCCTGAGGGTGGGGGCACCCTCAGGGCACTATAGTGCCAGGAAAACGAGCATGTTTTCCTGGCACTATAGTGGTCCTTTAAAGACTCAGGAATAGTTTACACATTTTGCTGTATTTTGAGCACCTACGTATATCACTTTTTTTTGTTTTATTCAAGGAGAATTTATGCCTTTATAGCAATTTCAAAAGGACACCAAGTAAGAACATGTGCCACGGGACAGAAAACTCCCTCAAAGCTTTTTACTAGATTTGCTCTTTTATTCATTAAAGGGTTACTACAACCACCATGGCCACTTCTGCTTTTAGAAGTGGTCATGGTGGCAGGAGGCTGAAAGTGCAGCGTTTTAGCTTAAAACGCTGTACATAGATATTTGTACCCGTGTACCGAGTGCTAGTTGCCATTCTTTTTGGGGGGAAAGGGGGATACACAAGATTAACTTACTCTAAGCTCAACCACTCTGAGGATCGGTAATACACTTCTGTCTATTTGTCTACTTTATTTTGGCTTTGGTTTATATATTGCACGTAGAGCCAATTGCATTCTGGCAATGTCATTATATGGCTTATTTTAAGTCTATCTGCTAATATTTACATAAGAAATGAAGTGCAATAAGTGATCTCCCACCAACACCACTTCATCTGCAATATTGTAGAAGTATGCCCTATGCACAAAGCTTTATTTCTCCGTGCTTTCGTGTATCTATCTACATACCTAATCATTTATAAAATACTAAGCTATACATGGTAGATTCTCTCCACTTGACAGTGGGAGACCAAAGCCTGCTCAGAGCTTACTCGATTCTTCTCACACTTAAGACAGTGCTCATTAGTCCATTACATGCCTACTATGTCACAAGTCCAATTCCTTCATTACAGGTTGTAGTTTTTTTTTTTTTTTTAATAGAGACGTACTGGATACTGCACTCAACAAGTAACCCAGGTGCTCTGAAGCTAGGCCAGGCCTCCCTTCCAAGATATGCAGAATAAATAATAGTTCAGGAACTCCGGTATAACAAAAATAGCAGCTTAATTTGGGCAAAAACAGCAACATTTTGATCCTATCGGATCTTTATTAAGCTTGATAAAGCCCCGGTAGGGTCGAAACGTTGCTGTTTTTCCCCAATAAAGCTTCTATTTTTTGTTATCCTGGAGTGCCTTAACTGTTATTTATTCTGCATATCTTGGTAGGTTTTTTTAAGTCAACATTTCTTTATTAAAGGACCACTCTAGGCACCCATACCACTTCAGCTTAATGTAGTGGTCTGGGTGCCAGGTCCCTCTAGGATTAATCCTTTTTTTTTTATAAACCTAGCAGTTTCAGAGAAACTGCTATGTTTATAATAGGGTTAATCCAGCCTCCAAAGCCTCTAGTGGCTGTCTCATTGACAGCCGTTAGAGGGTTTGCGTGCTTCTCACTGTGAAAATCACAGTGAGAAGACGCCAGTGTCCATAGGAAAGCATTATAAAAGCTTTCATATGAGACCGGCTGAATGCGCGCGCAGATACTGCCGCGCATGCGCATTCAGCCGAAGAGGAGGATCGGAGGCGGAGAGGAGAGCTCCCCGCCCAGCGCTGGAGAAAAGGTAAGTTTAACCCCTTTCCTCTCCCCAGAGCCGGGCGGGAGGGGTCCCTGAGGGGCACCCTCAGGGCACTATAGTGCCAGGAAAACAAGTATGTTTTCCTGGCACTATAGTGGTCCTTTAAATGATCACTGTTGCACAAATCCATTTACAATTGACTGATCCCCTGTATCGTATCTCTTTTACAGACACCAAATTTTAGGTTATAGGTTTCCTCTCTTTACCATACCACAAGTATAGACTATTCTCACCACTTCGTACATAGAACTTCTGTCCCTCGCACCCTTATTCTTATTACAGATGCCCTTCCTCTCATTTCTTATATCTAGATCCCTTCTATTCCACTCCTCTTATGTGATTCTCCTAAACCACACTCACACTCCCATTATTGATAGGCATTCTTACATCCCATTACAAGTCCTCTATTTCCTTCCTCATTTCAGTGAGTGCAGACTTTTCTCACTGCTCCATCTGCTTCTACACATCTGCAAAATTAAGACTGTCAGCAGAGTTACAATGTAACCCTGACTCACTCTGGATTAGAAGAAGCTATACACATACATACATAAGTATAGCAATAAATGGTTAAAATTAAATATTTTAGAATCGTCACTGACTGGGTGGGAGGAATATCCGTCGAAAACATCTCCTGGTCTGTGCCTGCCAGTAGCTCTGCTTTCATTCCACGTATGCTCAACACCTGCTCACAGAACTTGCAGCACAACACCGACACACGCCTGTCTTTAAAGGTGGGGACTCCAGAGGACATGATGCAGAGTTAGCCCTGGGGGGAAGACAAAAGTCAAAAGTTTGTTAATGTGATTGAATCTTTCATTTTAGCTATCTAGCAAAAAAAACAACAACAACCCCAACTCCCCTCTCCCCCCCAACATATTGCTCTTGAATTGCATGTTAACTTCTTAATCTGTTTTAAACAACTAATGCTACTTTTAGAGTCCACATCCAGGTTATTTTCAAGAGGCCATGGTCATTTGTGTAATATACTTTGAACTCCGTATCCAATTCTTACCATTTATTTGTACAACATACCTTTCAAGTAGTAATGGGCAGAAACAAGCAGCATGTGTTTAACATAATACCATAGATACTTAAAGCGGCAATGTCATGTCCGAATCCCCCTTTTTTTTTATTCCCCCCCTCCCGACTCCACTACATCTAATTGTTCCCCTAGTCACCCCCAAACCCTCTTAAGCTCCCCATATTACCTGTTTTTTAATGTTTATTTTCTGCCCGGAACTAGGTCCTGGGTGCCACCATCTTTGTGTGGGTAGATGAAGTTCCTGTGGGAAACGTCATCTGCCCACACTAGATAGCGCTATCAAATTCCCACACATGCCCAGTTAAACACTTGGGCATTCGAACGGAAATTTCATTTATTCGTCAGAAAGAAGAATAAATGAATCGAAATTTTGAACGAATGAACAAAGGCCTCTTCGTTCGTTCGGTTTATTATAAGGGGGAACTACCGGGGCGCAGCTCCCTCCTTGTAATATATAAAAAAAATAGAAGCGCCAGGGAGCAGTGCTCCCCGCAACTTCCTAAGCCCCCCATATCCTCCCAATATGACCCCCATAATAGCATAAGCGATTAAAATCTCCCAAATGCCCTACAACATACCTTTCAAGTAGTAATGGGCAGAAACAAGCAGCATGTGTTTAATATAATACCATAGATACTTAAAGCGGCACTGTCATGTCCGAATCCCTTTTTTTTTTATTCCCCCCCTCCAGACTCCACTACATCTAATTGTTCCCCTAGTCACCCCCAAACCCTCTTAAGCTCCCCATATTACCTATTTTTTAATCTTTATTTTCTGCCCGGAACTAGGTCCTGGGCGCCACCATCTTTGTGTGGGTAGATGAAGTTCCTGTGGGACATGTCATCTGCCCACACTAGATAGCGCTATCAAATTCCCACACATGCCCAGTTAAACACTTGGGCATTCGAACAGAAATTTCATTTATTAATTCGTCAGAAAGAAGAATAAATGAATCGAAATTTTGAACGAATGAACGAAGGCCTATTCGTTCATTCGGTTTATTATAAGGGGGAACTACCGGGGCGCAGCTCCCTCCTTGTAATATAAAAAAAAATAGAAGCGCCAGGGAGCAGTGCTCCCCGCCACTTCCTAAGCCCCCCATATCCTCCCAATATGACCCCCATAATAGCATAAGCGATTAAAATCTCCCAAATGCCCCTACTGTCAGGATACTGACAGGGATCCAATACGCAGAGTGCGGATAGAAGGAGGTACGTATACCGGACCTTAGAATGGCCGGACTAACGTAGGGACAAAGCAGAATAGTAAAAAGGTAAGCCGAGGTCGAGGGAGCCGGAGGACAGGTAAGCGAGATACAAGCCGAGTCAAAGGAGAGGAGAGGACAACAGGACAAAAGACAAGCAAGGGTCAAAACCGGAAACACAAGATAAAGAACGCGCTGAGTGACTAGCAAGCTAGAACCACGACAGGGCAATGAGCAGTAGTAAAGGTTTCCTTTAAATACCCTGTACCTAAATAGAGACCACGCCCCCAAAAGGTCCGGAATAGCGGTTCCCGGCACTTTATGCAAATGCCGACGTCATGACGTCGACGCTAGCCGTCGCGTCATAAAAGGGGGAGGAGCTAGCGCGGCCGGCGCGAAAACGGCCGGAATATGCCGAAATGCTAGGGGCAGGGAGCCCCTAAACAGAGAGGATGTCTTCCCTGGATTCAGCACCAACAGGTACCCTGACAGTACCCCCCCTTCTAGAAACGCCCACCGGGCGGATGGGACCGGGCTTAGAAGGAAAACGAACGTGGAAGGCCCGAAGAAGACGAGGAGCATGCACGTCTATACCAGGAACCCAAGACCTCTCTTCTGGACCATAACCTTTCCAGTCTATGAGGTATTGCAGCTTCCCCCTAGAAATACGAGAATCAAGGATGGACTTGATGATATATTCCTCCTGACCATCCACACGGACCGAGGATGGAGGAGTAGAGCGGGAGGAAAATCTGTTACAAACAAGAGGTTTCAATAAAGACACATGAAAAGAGTTAGGGATGCGTAGAGTAGGAGGTAGATCCAGCAAATAAGAAACCGGGTTGATCCTCCTCAGTACCCTGTAAGGACCAATGTAACGAGGAGCAAACTTCAAGGAAGGAACTTTCAGGCGAATGTGTCTGGTACACAACCAGACCCTATCCCCCGGAGAAAAAATAGGAGCAGGACGTCTACGCCTATCAGCATGTGACTTAAACACCGCGGAACTACGCTCAAGAATTTGTCGAGTCTGATCCCACAACTTTCTCAGGTTGGCTATATGAATATCAACCGACGGTATACCCTGGGAAGGAGACACCGACGGAAGAACAGTATGGTTAAAGCCATAGTTCAAGAAAAAGGGGCTATTACGAGTGGAACCACAAACAAGGTTGTTGTCGGCAAACTCCGCCCAAGGAATCAGACCGACCCAGTCATCCTGGTGTTCAGAAACAAAACAACGTAGATATTGCTCAATTTTTTGGTTAGTGCGTTCGGCTACTCCGTTAGATTGAGGATGATAGGCCGAAGAAAAATTCAGTTTGATGCCCAACTGGGAACAGAAGGATCTCCAAAAACGGGAAATAAATTGGGAACCCCTGTCTGACACAATCTCATTAGGAATACCATGTAAACGGAAAATTTCTCTAGCAAATATCACGGCCAGTTCAGGAGAGGACGGAAGTTTAGGCAAGGGAATGAAATGAGCCATTTTAGTAAACCTGTCAAGGACCGTGAGGATAACCGTGTGCCTACTGGAAACCGGCAGATCAACAATAAAATCCATAGCCAAACAAGCCCAAGGTTTGTTGGGAACGACTAAGGGCTGCAATAAACCACAAGGGAGATCCCGCGGAAGTTTATTCCTGACACAAACATTGCAAGCCTTGACAAAGTCTTCCACATCCCTACGTAAACCGGGCCACCAGAAGTCTTTTGAGATCAGGCAGTAAGTTTTGTGGATGCCGGGGTGACCAGCGAACTTGCTATCGTGGAAACAGCGAATAATGTCCACTTGGAATTTGGGGGACACGAACAAGCGGCCCACAGGAGTACGTTCGGGAGCAAGAGATTGTTCGTTCATAATATCAACGAGCAATGGAGAGTGTATTTTGACATTGGTGTTGGCGATAATATTGACTTCAGGAATAATAGGGAACAAAGTGTCCTCTGTGGAGGCGATAGGTTCGTGCTGACGAGACAAGGCGTCCGCCTTAGTGTTCTTAGAACCAGGCCTGTAAGTAAGCATATAATTAAAGTGTGTAAGGAACATAGACCAACGTGCCTGCCTGGCAGATAATCTTTTGGCCTCCCCCATATACGATAAATTTTTGTGGTCAGTCAAGATGGTAACTGGGAGGACAGTGCCCTCTAACAAATGTCTCCATTCCTTTAATGCCATAATGATAGCTAAAAGTTCTCTATCACCAATGTCATATCTCCTTTCTGTGTGTGATAGTTTCTTGGAAAAAAAACCGCAAGGGTGCAGCGGCTTATCTAAACTTTGTCTTTGGGATAACACTGCGCCTATCCCTGTTTCAGACGCATCAACTTCAAGTAAAAAGGGTAGAGAGGTATCAGGATGAACTAATACAGGTGCTGAGGCAAAAGACTGTTTGAGCGTTTCGAAAGCAGATAAAGCCTCAGTAGACCAGGTTTTGGTATCGGCTCCTTGTTTGGTCATATTAGTGATAGGAGCGATAACAGAGGAGTACCCTTTAATAAAACGTCTGTAATAATTAGAAAATCCAAGAAATCTTTGTATGGCTTTGAGTCCCTTAGGTAAAGGCCAATCTAAAAATCGATTTTAGTTTGGTCGGGTCCATCATAAACCCGTCTTTGGAAATTACGTAACCTAAGAAAGTTACCTGAGACTGGTCAAAGCTACATTTTTCCAATTTACAATACAATCCATGTTGTAAAAGTTTCTGTAAAAGTTTCTGTAATACCTTTCTGACTTGTCTATGATGTGAATTAATGTCTCTAGAATGGATTAGTATATCATCCAAATATACAATTACACATTCATGTTGGAATTCTCTAAGAACTTCATTGATTAAGTCTTGGAAGACGGCCGGGGCGTTACAAAGCCCAAACGGCATTACAGTATACTCATAATGCCCGTAACGGGTATTAAATGCTGTCATCCATTCATCTCCTTGTTTAATTCGCACTAAGTTATATGCTCCTCTCAAGTCAAGTTTGGTAAAAATACTCGAGCCCTTTAGTCTGTCAAAGAGTTCAGTAATCAAAGGAATAGGGTAAGCATTCCTGATAGTAATTTTGTTCAATCCCCGATAATCTATACAAGGACGTAAGGTACCGTCTTTCTTTTCTACAAAAAAGAAACCTGCCCCCGCCGGAGAAGAAGACTTTCTGATAAATCCTTTGTCTAAATTCTCCTTGATGTATTCCTCTAAAACTAAGTTTTCCTTGGTGGATAGAGGGTATACCGTACCCCTGGGAGGCATAGTACCAGGGAAAAGTTTAATAGAACAGTCATAAGACCGGTGGGGAGGTAAAGTATCCGCCTTACCCTTGTCAAAAACAGATTTGAGGTCTAGATATTGTAGTGGTATCTGAACGTCAGTGGATTGAGAAGTGTTAGCATAAGAGTTTACGGAGCAAACAGAAGTAACTCTCTGCAGACATGCTTTCCTACAACCCATACCCCAAGAAACGATTTCTCCACCCTCCCAGTCAATCTGAGGGTTGTGTCTCTTGAGCCAAGAAT